CCAGTTGAAACTGGTGGGGACCGTCCACGTGTTGTGAGATTAAGGAGTTTTCATCATGTCTTCTGTCTGCTGGTTGGTGTTCGTGGATACACTCTGCTAGTCTTTTGCCCGTCTATCCTACATATTTGCTGTTAGTCCTTGCATTGTATGTAGTAAATGACTCATTTTTTCTTCTTGGGCTATTGGTTATTTTGATTTGTTTTGAGGGGATTCTGTTGGTTTGTGTGCTACAATGAAGCCGAGTAGTTGTAGGCTGTTGGTTGTATTGGAGATGTTTTTGATGTATGGGAGTGTTATTCTTTTGTAGGTTGAACTTGTTTTGTCGTGGTGGGTTGTGTAGTCAGGCACTTTTTGAAGGAATTGTGTGGGTATCCATTGCATTGGAAGATGTTGTACTGTGTAAGTAGTTTCCTCTTTCTTGCTTCCTTGGTTGGTTATTTCTGCTCAGGGCAAAAGAGGAAAGTTGGGGAGTTGATGAGAATCTGGGGGAAAAAGGTGAGAAGTTTAAAGAACAAAAGACAATATATGAAATGCTGTATGAATGTGGTGAAACCAAAGATTGGGAGATATAATGAATGGTATTGGTGTAATTTTTTTTTAGCTATATTGCTTTTTCTTATTTGGTTTACTATTTCTTACACCTTTTCTGTGCTCTGCATAATGTTGCTTATTCCAACAGCACAGCATTATGTAAGTGTGTGTGTGTACGTGTGTGTGTATATATATATATGAGACAAAGTCACATATTAATGTTTATATAACACAGTAATTTTCAGGACAAGCAGAAAGTGGGAAAGAGAAATAAACCACATTATTTACAGAAATAAAGCCATTTATTTTTATAACTTTTTTTTCTTTCAGATGAATACAGTACTTGTAGGTGTCATATTTTGAGAGCAGAACTGGCACTATATTGCTGAGGATTGCACATAAGGTCAGAAAAGTTAACACCTTTATAAATTTTGGACAGATAAAATTCAGTAATATTTTTCACACTAAAATATGGAAGCTATATTCAACACGTGCCATCTCTTTTAAGACGTGTTCAAAATCTGTAAAAAATTATTTTCTATAAATTTTGGTCAACATGCTTCATTAAAACCTTTTCAAAGTTTTACAACAATGTGCAGATAATTATGCCCAACTGTCAAGCAGATGTAATACATCAACAGCAGCAAAAGCAAGCTAACACTGCACAATCATGAGTGGGACTGATTTTTAAAATACATTTTTTCCACAAATATCACACAGAACCCTGTTCTTCATGTCTCTCCAAAGTCCCCCCCCCCCTTTTAAGGCTATATGAGAAGACATGTCATAACATGATTTCATGATTAAAACTATTTCTAAAATTCATCTTTGTTAGTACACACAGGGCACCATGCCACCAAGTCAAAAAGAGTGCAAAGAAGCAGAGATGACTTTGCTTTCACAGACATCCAATCCCAATTCTACAGAATCTTGGAACAGCACCAGGAGAGGAAGGAAGTTTGCAAGTGCCATACTGATTTTGGTTTCAGCCTAGGACTTAAACTGGAAAAATAGTCCTAAATTGGTGGTCATTAAAAGCAGTCACTCCAATTTCATTTCTGCATGAAAAGCGCAAACATAATAAAGGCAGGCTGCTTGACAATGATCCACTCCAGCCCATGTAAAACTGTATGCTGTTATCCAGAACCTGTTATAACCTTTATATCCATATCTGGGTCTGCTTCACGTAGTTTGGTCAAGGAATTCCTCCAGAGTTCTTTTTATGTGTGGGGGCTGAGATGCAGCTTGGATCAACAAATTCTGACCCATTTGTGCAAAAAGTGCTTTTGACAGTTTAGCAGTGGCTGCCCGAATATTTCCACCAGCTCCAGGTAAGGAGCCACTGTTTGTCATGTTGCCCAACAAATGCCACAAAACCACCAAGACTTTCTGCTCTATTGCATGAGGCTTCCGTGGATACAGCTCAACAACGAGCTCTGGATTTAGGAAAAGAACCAAGGGAGAAAGGTAGTTATTTTTGATACAAGTATATGCAAGATGCTACCTTCCCAGATTATATCCTGAAACTGAAGAGAAATTCTAAATAAATCTTAAGCAGACTTGTTGCAAATACAGAAGCGTATAGAAGCAACTGTGGTGGCCGCTATCAAATTATGAACATACGTACTGCATACAAAAAGTCAAAAGCATCTTCTAGAAATGTCGTAAATATTGGAAGGACAAAGAGTTTTCTATCAAACTTAAATTCTTACTCTGTTTTCAAACTCTTCAACTGAATGGAATATTAACAGACTGTATTACATTTGCTTTTCAGTTTACTATACTAGCCCTGAGCTTCAGAATAAAACCTCTACCTAGTGTCAACAGTGCAATATAGCTAACCCTTCAATAATAAAAACTCTCGAAGATGCATGACAGACTTATTCAATATGGATCAGCCTTACAGAGAAAAATCACTGATAAAAAAAAGTCATGAAGCATAAAGAAAACTGCTGAAAGCCTTACCAGCTAATTTTTCAGTTATGTCTTGTTTGGCTTTTCCATTCAGAAATTGGGCCTTTGTGCAGAATGGCTGGAGAAGCAGATAATTGTCTTGAAGCAAAGAAACAAGGACATAAAACACAGGATTTGCTTCAGGAGACTTAGCTCTGAGTTCTATTAACAGACTTCGGTATAAAACAATAAAGATGAAACGTAGTTGTAGAGTTTGGAAGATGGCAAGGGGATAGAAAAATGTAGCCTTAAGTCTCAGAAATCACAATCTCAATGGCTGAGTTTACATGCTGCATTAAATCAAAGTATAGTTTGTTTAGGTTCACTTAGCATGACGGATAATTCAGATATTGTGGCTTGTGAACTACAATTTATGGGGGCTGGGTGAAGTGGAGAACACTCCTGCTTTTTCATTATTGTTTTAAGTCTATATGCTACCTGAGAAATATGGCATTGCAGTGATATCACCAGAATGGTTGAGACCTTTTTTAAAAAGTATTTTTAAAATGGAGTTGTGCTTGTGGAGTGGGGTTATAGAAAGTAGACCACACTTTATTATTTAAATTGGAGAGAAGAGTAAAAAAAGTATGGTACCAAAACCTGCCTAGAGTTACCTAGGTGACTGAGACAGCATACAAATAGATAAAAATAAATGTTTGGCTACCAAATTTCAATAGCACAATCTAGTGTAACTCTGGGAACTACAAAAAATAGGAAAAGGTCCAGAAGCAACATGTAGGCCAGTAGTTTAATTTGAGTGGACTTTTATGACATAGTGAACAAACTATGGGTAACCCAAACCATATCTCACCATATATTATTGCAATGTGAAACTTTCAATGTGTTTTTCCTACATGCTGCAGATCTTCTGAAGTGCCCTAAAGTATTGTTGAATGAGACTGGTACATTGGAGGAATGTTTACAAACTGAGCAAAGCAAGCATTAATATATCCACATTTGTATTTTAAGTAGATAAGGTAACAACCCATAAACTCCAAATTGTTCAGTCCCCTCTTTTTTGCAACACTACTTCTTGAAGCTCAGTCTAGTAGATAAAAGAAAAATAGATTACCTAAGTGTTGACAAAGAGCCTGGATGACATTGGTGGCAGCAGCATAGATGCCTGGGTTCTTGGAATTCAGATTGTTATCAACCAAGGCAGGAATTAACATGTTGATAACAGGAGATAGTTTCTCTTTCAATAGAGGAATCAACTGGTGCATGGTCTCTAGAGCAACCTGATTGACTTTGCTGTTTGAGTCATGTAAGCGAGACTTGAAGGCATCAAAGATCTAGACAGACACATGATTACAATAGTTGGAATTATTATCTTAGACCAAATATATATTTTAAACTGTTTTTCATAGGATTCCACATTTTAAAAATTGACAATGTTCAGTTCCCAATTCTTCCAGAATTTTCAGTGTAAACCCAAGCAAGTTCTTGTTCTCTTTCTTTCATATATTGATTCACCGGAGGGAGGGAGGGAGGGAGGGAGGGAGGAGTATGTATATATGTATGTATGTATGTATATTTCAAATTTGTCACTGCCCATCTCACTACAGAGTGACTACAGAATATCCCCAAGAATTGTTGGTCGGCAAAAAGACAGTAAAACCCTTTGCAAATCAAGGGCATACATACCCTTGTAAGTAGTTTTAACTTTCTTTAACCAATAGGCTTCCTAATTCAAGAATACTCTAAAAACCCCAAGTAGTAAAGGAATTTAAATTGCAAGGGATTCTCAATTGCTTAAAGAGTATCTGACAAAGAATTACCACACAAAGGAAATAATAAACAATGATAATTAGGGTGGTGAGTGACCTGCTCATTTAAGGCAATTCATTTTGCAATGTGATAGTACGGAGTTAGTAAGATGCATGGTATGTGGACATGGTAGAAATACAGATAATTTGCAAGAATAAAAATATATGGAGAGTTAGATTGATGTTAGGGTAAACTAGATTTAGCCAAATTTCCTTTTTATTTCCTGACTTCCTTTTTTCCCTCTGTTTCTCACTAATTTTCTGCACTCTGTATAATGTTGCTTACACAAAGTGT